TTTGAATGCTGAATGAGTGTGTTCAATAAAGACATGGAGGATCAGAATTGGTTTCTGTGTTATTATTTTAGGCACATTATTATTTGTCAATACTCTTGACTTAGATGACAGTTAGATCAGATATTATGACAAATGAATGCAGAACACCATGGAACTCCAAAAGGTTCAGATACAGTTTCTTGCAACTGTGTAACTGGTAAGTGTGTAAGTTAGCAACCACTAAAATAACATCCTCTGTTGTTAGAAAGGGTCATCTATTGCTAGCTTCAGGTAGAGTCAAAATCAGTTGATACATTAATCACAACATTCAAAATCAGATAGCCATGACAGATTTGGGTGGCTTGTCTGTATTGATATATGGATGTCTTTATTAACAGTCTTCTTCTTCCCCTTCCCTCTAAGGCTCGTTTAAACAGGAGGTCCTTGCCGTCTTTGATAGCTTCCTAGCAAGACTTTAGAAAGCAGTGTAATACTGCATTTTCTTTTCACAGATGCTGCCTTCTCATTTAGATAGTTTTTAACAGATGATTTTGACAAAGGAGTTGCTCTTGACCTTGTTTTGCTCTTCTTTCACTGTTCTTAAGACATTGCAAGATAATTGTCAAAGTTTCCATAATTTTGGGAGCCCAATACCTGTAAAATAACTGAGCTGCTGAGGGAAGGATAAATGATTTCCTGCGTCTGGAAGCCCAACTTCTAGTCAGAAACTCATGTTTTGCATATCAATGCTTGCTTCTTTCTCAGCCTCTGTTCTGTTCTCCCAGCTAGAGCAGTTCATTGATACCTCATTTACTTTATGGAACTCAAGCATTTAAAGTCTGATGCTGTCTTAGGAGTTTGCTGGGGTTAGTTCTTGCTGAGCTGTGAAAAATGGAAATCGGTCCTTTTGAAAGTGAAAATTAATTTTTAAAATTAATGCCATTATGGAGATGGGAAATGGTTTAGGTTTTTTAATCATATTTTTTTTCATGTGTTGATCTTATTAGCCCCTTATTTAAGGAGTTCTAGTGCTTTGGGGTGCTGAATGTCCCAAATACTTCATCACAAGAATCACTTTTAAGAGTGCTCAAGAATTTGAAGGAGTAGGAACTGAGTTTTCAGATGTGTTTCATTTCTTAAAATTGTGGCAGAGAAGGAGATTATCAGAGAAATCCACTGAAAGGTTTTTGAAGTTTGCAGTAGGAATGTCTTAAACAAATCCCTTTGTTTTGAATGTAACTGTGGGAAGGATAAGGTAGAGTGTAACTACCGCTAGGATGAATCCTTTCCTCAGACAATTCAGACATGGTTATGGAATAAATTCTTCCTGGGAAAGAGAAGGTGCAGCTTCACAAAAATTACTGTTCTTGTTTACACCAGAAACTTCCTCTCCTAACAGCAGAGGAGTGGTGTGGATTCACTAATGAGCAGGGGTGGAACTTTTCCCAATAAGTCTTAGAAGTAGCTTTTTCCCTCAGTCTAAGAATGACAGGGTGTTGTTTCCTAAATGTAGAAGTTCATTACCGGGTGGTGATGGGTTTGTGGAGAGAAAGAGCTTAAGTTTTTAGGCTCATTCAGTTATCTTTTTCTGCTGGAGTGGTTTGTCCCCCTCCTTTTACCCACTTCATTTACCTTACCCTGCTCCTGACATGAGAATTTAACAAGCAAAATTAAAGCCTGAGGGAAAAGGGGGAATGAAAGGGAGATCCGAGTCTGTATGCTGTCAGGAGGGAGCTGCAGATAGGCAGCAGAGGGGTGGAAATTTCCCTGACAGACCTCCTCGTCTGTTCATCACCTCTGGCTGTACAGCACACCCCATCTCCTTGGGTGGGCTGCCAGGAATGGCACAGAGCAGCACATACCTTCAGCGGGGCCCCAGCCTACCAGCCTGGCTCGCGTCTCCCTTGCTGCCTCCAGCACAGACTGCCATTCTTCTATCTCTGTTAACAGTTGCAGCAGCAGTAGTAATATTTTTAAGCTGTGCGTTATGAAAAGATGCAAAAAGTAGAGTGTGTTTCTCAGGAAGTGACCGACACATTTTTCTGATGAATGGAATTTTTTTACTACTCTCTGATCTCATTTCACTGAATGCCTTTATTTTACACCCTTGAGCAGGCCCCATTTTATCCCTTCTAGGACTAATCTTACCTTTGTTGATTTCTCAAGGAAAAGGTCTGAGGCCCTTTCTTCTCTCATTTGACCATTTGTCTCTGAAGGGATGGGAGAAGATGCCCAAAAATCATAAGCCTGCTCTTGGCTTGGGTGCTGCTAACAGATTGTCTATACTCTGGAAGCACTGCTACGACAGCTACTCTTCCAGCAAATGTAATTGTTACAGATTGTGGGTATTTCCATGATTGCATTTCTCACGCATTCCCATTCCCAGCCACCTGATGTGTAAATGGTTTACGGAAGGGAAGCAGTTGCTGATGCATCAGATCAGAGATTGAGTCACCCTTCAACCGTTCTTCCTTCCGTCTCCTTATCAAGTCACAGTGTGTTTTTTTGGTGGGGCAACAAATCAGAAGTGATGCAAGAACAATATTTTCTGGTTTTAGTTGTGAAAACTGAGAATTGTTGCATCCTTGAAATGCTGGGAAGGTGGGGAAGAGAAAGACAGTGTGCAATATGTGAGAAGTGTGTTATAAAGCTCTAGGACTCTAAGAACAAATGAGGGCAGAGAGGGTTGTTGAAAAATATTGTACTTGTAGGGTTAGTACATCGATATCAGGATGGCACAGTGGAAATTCTAGTTGTACTGAAAAGAGATGTGATGTTAATAGGGAGATTTACTGTGTGTTCTTGGATTAGTTTTGATGCTTCTTAAAAAATCAAATATGAATGTAACTGATTTTAATGGCATCTCCACCATAAATGTAAGTATTAATTTTTGGGTTCAGTGGCATTTGAGATTCAAGAATGTTGGGGTCTACAAAGGAACTGATAAGGCATGAAGTATTTGCAGTTTATGGAGCAGGAACAGAGGACTTCTGTTAGTTTTTCAGCCTTGCTAGGAGGAGTAAGAATTATTGAGTCAGGCCTCAGCTGTTTTTTCCAAAGCTCAATAAATTTGAGCTGATCCTTGATAGAAGATCTTGGTTAGACATAACTAATTATTCATGTTATATGAGTGGTTGAACCTTCTCTGGTTTAGCAGCAATAAAGCAAGCAATTGTATGAACTAGGTCCAACAAACACCTTGCTTGCAACAGCAGCCATTTATTTTTCTGACAGATTCAATTAATTTTAGAGAGAATCAAAAGGAAATTACTTGATTTTAAAGTCTTGGCTATGACCTTACATGTCTTTCTGTGTGAATATTTATAAATCATGAAATAGTCATTGGATCTTTTCTCTTGAAGATATCAAAATACTAAATTGGCTTTAAGTAATAGGTAAATTCTGGTTTAGTAGTTATGTCTACAGGCAGCCATCAAGACCAAAATCTTACAGGCAGGCTGGAGACCACAAAAGAGAAACACCAATAAAAACCACTCTTGTATACAATATATTTGTGATTGAAATGACTAGAAAATACTTACATAACTGTCTGGTTCTGTCATTCTCAGAAAAGTAAAAACACTAGCCTTTTTATTCTACTTCGACAACTTCAAAAACCTAAAAATCATTCAGTGTGTTAGCACTTTGATTTTCACATATAAAGAGACACAAAAATAAAAATTGCATTATTTAGGCAATTTGTAGTATTTATTTGATATGTAAGTCAAGATTTTTTAAAATACGGCTTTTTTATATGGTATCTTTTGAGCTGCCAGTTTTGAGGCCTAATTTTTCATCATCAAAAGCAGCCATGCATTTATTTTGGAAGAAGGAGGACCTGTTTGTATCAGGTCAGCAACTTAATTTTTGTACCTCAACTTCTGGTTTTTATGACTATTTTAACCCAAGAAGTTGTTACCTGAGAAGTTACAGGTGGAAGCACTTGATAGTTAATGTGATTTCTTTAACGACATGGCTACTACTTGTGGGTAAAATATAAGGACTTGAAGGGTGAGGTTTTCTATCCTCTTGATGGCTCAGTCATTTCTTTCTGGCCACTGTCTTACTCTTGAAACTATCTTCCAGTCCCATCTGTACCCAGGCTTTCCCTTTATGATGACTTGTGCTCCTAACATCTCTTCATTACAAATAAATACTATTAATAATAATGATAGATGCTGCATGCTGCACCACATATGTTTATCGAGCTTCTCTGGGAATCTCTGTGTGGGAAAGTGTTTGAAGTGCAGTTTGAAAGAGGATGGGCGGGAAGGTTGGTTTTTTTAATTACATAATGCTCGCTTTACAAATTAAACCGAGTATTATTGTTCCGATTTAAGATGTATTCTTGTTCCAATTTAAGTCTTATTTTTGTAGACTGGCTCGTTAATCAAGTTCTGTTAAACATAAGTATATTAATACATTTACTGTATGGTGTTGGACTAATTTTGATTCTTCTTTAAAAATAATCCCTGATAAACTGAAAATGTAGCTCTTTTTGACTTGACTTTTAAGTAAGTTCATCGAGTGCATAATATTTCACTAAATATAAGAGTTTTCATTAATATTTACTTAAACCTTTATTTCGCTTCTGATTCGGTAACATGCTTTAATGTTACTGTGGTGCTTAAATTACTTCAGATTCCTTAAAAGTGAGAACTTCAGTTCTAGTTCCAGGTTTCCTTTTTCTTCCATCTTTTTTACTGTGACACTCCAAATATGGTAGAAGTATGATTTGTTGAATGTGCTTTTCCACTTAAAAAATCATCACCACATCTCCAGGCACAAATATGAACTTTATTATTACGAGAAATCAATTAACTATGTTAGGCCTGCCATAATGAAATGGGAACGTAAAGTATATCTCTCAGTTTCCTCAGGGAAAAGCTTGAAAGCATGTAGTGGATTGACATGATAAATGGGTGAGCGGATGAGACTGAAAGGAAGTTTTATGCTTTGTAAAGCTGATGCCCTACATGACGCTTAGTAACGACATCACTTCTCCTGTGATTTATCTCTAGGCAGCAGTTGTGGTGGTATTCAACTTTGCTATGGTTCTACTGATTTTCCCTGCTATCCTCAGCATGGACCTTTATCGTCGAGAAGACAGGAGACTGGATATATTCTGTTGTTTTACAAGGTGAGAGCATGAGCTAGATTGATGTACAAGGTGTGTCCTTTTTATGGTCACCAGTTGGTGCTACCATTCCTTGTCAGGAGTGAAAGTGCTTCATTGCAGCATGATCAATGTGTTACTGCTATGATTTCATTGCTAGTGAGTAGCTTACATTCACTGCCTTGCTTTTTACCTGCCTGAAGGGAAAAGTTAAAAGACATCTCTGTGTCTGTCACACTCTCCCTTTTTTTCATGTGTATGTTCATTTTGACTGTTGAAGGACAGCTTTTTCAAAGTGGATAGAGGATCCATGCTTTAGGAATATATTCAAGTATATTTAGAATGTTACAGGATACTGCAAGGTCTCCAGGGCTGGTATTGGGTAATCTTGGAAAACTGTATGTAACTTGGGCTACTGGGAAGCCTGACTTCATAGAGTCATAGAATTGTCAGGGTTGGAAGGGACCTTAAAGATCATCTAGTTCCAACTCCCCTGCCGTGGGCAGGGACATCTCCCGCTAGATCAGGCTGCTCAGAGCCCCATCCAGCCTGGCCTTGAAAACTTCCAGGGATGGGGCTTCCACCCCCTCTCTGGGCAACCTGTGCCAGTGTCTCACCACCCTCATGGGGAAGAACTTCTGCCTAATGTCCAATCTGAACTGATCCATCTCCAGCTTTAATCCATTCTTCCTAGTCCTATCACTACTAGACATCCTAAAAAGTCCCTCACCAGCTTTCTTGTAGGCCCCCTTAAGGTACTGGAAGGCCACTTACAGTTAATCATTACATGCTAATTTTTACGCTTTTTATACCTTCGATTTTTAGGCTTTTTATACCTCTAAACTTAAATATCCAAACATAATGCACAAACTATACAATTACTTCCCCCAGCCAATTTTTTCATGGGACTGTGAGGCATGCAGGATGATCCACACGATTACAGAATAATGCTTGATAAAGTTCCTCTTATGGCTGTAATCGTAATTTAGAATGGTCGTACTGCCATTCTAAGAGTGTATACACAGATTCTTACCTTATACGTAGCCAGCTCTGAGCATGGAGTGGGGCAAGGAGGAGTCTGCTTTCATCAGTGGAGCCACTGCTTAGAAATCAAGTCTATTTTTACCTTAGGTTTTGCTTTCGCCTGCAATTAGAAGGATCAGTTACATTTCTATACGTGTTCTTTCTGTCATAACCAAGATGTGGAGATCCACCTTGTGTCATCAGCCTTCCACACCCACCTAGGAACTGACATAGTTTGACATTTTAATTTTAATGTTGAGGAGAGAAAGCACTCTCTTAAATTTGTTTTTGAGGGTGTTGTTAGAACAGGGAGTTGAACTCAAGCCAGGAGTCCTAATTTCTGTTTCTGATTCAATCATAGTTGCAGGGGATGCCTTAATATGCTCAGATTTTGGAACCCTGATTCTCAGAAAAACAAGGGAGTCAAATCTTCCATTTATTCACTTATCTAAAGTTGTCCCAGATGTGTATCAGCATTTGGGTCCATTTACATGTGAGGACATGCAGTTAATGAGAGCTTACTTTGTTTAGGTAGGCAACATTCTGAATTCCTCTTGTGTTTGTAGGACTTGTCCACATGGGGAAAAATCTCCAATACTGTTTTCTGTTATCAGTTTGTAATTTCTCATTTACAGAAAGAGGCTTGTCTCTGAAATTTATTATTATTTTTTAATGAACTATGTATCTGTTAGGATCTTGCATAGACTAAAATAAAAAGAATGCTTCAATTACTTCTGTAATTTTGTCTCTTTATGTTGTTCTTCCTCCTAGGAATTAATGCTTGCATGTGTTTACTTAATTTTTAAAACATTCAGTCAGTGTATGGCAAGTGGTTTCAACCTGCCTCCTGAAAGTCTGAGATCTTATCCAGAAGGCCCAAATATTATTTAACAGTTACTCTAATAGTTCTAAACAGAAGAAGTCAGTATGTCAGATGTTTACATTTGGATGTAAATAGCTTAATTCTTTGTTTGGGCATGTAGATGCAAACTCACGCACATACAGTTCATTCAGCCTGTACGCAGCTAGCTGGTTATTGATCTGCTTAGCATGTGTAATTAATGGAGTGGTAGTGTGGGTAGGTGTCAGTATCTTTAGGCAGATGCTGGTTCATTCTTTCCTGAGCACTCAAAGTGTGCGCATGTTCTCAGAGGCCTTTGAACCATATCTGAGAAATGTTACCTAAAGGTGCAGAATAAAGCTTTACATTTAATTAATATAAACCATTTGTTACTTGTAGAAGCAGTCTCAGGTGGAAGCATGTTTTCCTGTCTAGACTGATTAACATAAAGATCTATCTGCATGCAAACAGATGTTTTTTCTCTTCTCTTACAGTCCGTGTGTCACTAGAGTGATTCAGATTGAGCCTCAAGCCTATGTGGAAAACGACAATACTTGCTACAGTCCTCCACCCCCATACAGCAGTCACAGTTTTGCACATGAAACTCAGATTACAATGCAGTCTACAGTGCAGTTGCGCACAGAATACGATCCTCATACGCAGGTGTACTACACCACAGCAGAGCCTCGCTCAGAAATATCTGTGCAGCCAGTGACTGTGACACAAGATAATCTTAGCTGCCAGAGCCCAGAAAGCACAAGCTCGACGCGGGATTTGCTTTCCCAATTCTCAGACTCCAGCATGCATTGCCTTGAGCCACCTTGTACAAAGTGGACACTCTCATCATTTGCAGAAAAGCATTATGCTCCGTTCCTCCTCAAACCAAAAGCTAAGGTAGTTGGGGAACTATTTACATTTTTTTCAAAAACAGACTTCTGTCTTACCCAGTAATAAAATTATCCTGGCAGTGGTATTAAAAAATCAGGAATAAATAGAATCGTTTTGAAATAACAATTGTTTATAATTTTACTGGTAATTTCATACTTCAAAAGATCTGTCTTGCAGGTGTTGTAGAGACTTACTTTTCAAGTGTAAGTTGTGAGTGGGGGTTTTGGTGGCTTTCAGTAACATAAACTTGTCAACAGTGAAACTAAAGCTACTTTTAAACTTCATTATGATATAAATTTTTCATCTGTAGTGCAGAGCTCCTTCAATAAAGCACAAATTAGCATAGCCTTATAGTGTGTATATGTATGAGAAAGAAAAACGCAGAAATAAAAACTTTAAAATAGTCAACTGAGGGTTGTTAATTTTGAACCTGTCTTTGTGATGTGTCACTATGAATTGTTAGTTTCTTTTGAAACCTAAAACCAAATGCACTTCTTTTTTCTGTTGCAGATTGTGGTTATTTTTCTTTTTCTGGGTTTACTTGGGCTCAGCCTTTATGGAACTACCCGTGTGAGGGATGGATTAGATCTCACAGACATTGTACCACGGGAAACGCGAGAATATGACTTCATTGCCGCACAGTTCAAGTACTTTTCATTCTACAACATGTATATTGTGACACAGAAAGCAGACTATCCAAATGTCCAGCACTTACTTTATGAACTCCACAGAAGTTTCAGCAATGTTACGTATGTTCTGTTGGAAGAGGATAAGCAGCTTCCCAAAATGTGGTTGCACTATTTTCGAGACTGGCTGCAAGGTAAGAGAGAGTTTCATGAACATTTTTAATTTTACAGTAGTAACCACTTGTTTGTGCTAGTAATGCTTCCCTCTTCAAATATAGTCGCACAGTTAAAGACCTTGAGCGGGAGGGAGAATGCCTAGGTGCTGTTCCAAACTTGCACATTGACTCATTGTTCCTCTAGAAGATCACTTAAATTCTTTGTGGCTAAGTTTACTCCCCACTAAGACAGTTTTGAAGCTTTAAGAGATTATATCCATGAGAGGCCGTCTGATGCCATTAATTTCTAAGCAGCTAATGAGGAGTTCTGCTTTATAATTAATGACCAAATATCGCCCACTGTCTTGGGAAAATAAATGTTTGCTGAGTGTTTTGAGAACAGTAAATGAAAAGTCCCTGTCTGGCAGTGTATTTTGGCACAGGATTAACTTCCAACACGAGTGATCCTGTTGGCTTCAGCTGGAGCTGCTGGCATGGAGAAAATTCAGTGTGGTTTTTGTGTTTTATTGGATTGGGAACTTACTATACATTCTAGATTTCCAGTCAAGTATCTTTACTCTTTCTGTGGTGCTGTTTTTTCTGTACTGAGTCGTAATGGGGCAGAGGAAGACAAGAGAAAGCATAGCTTTACTGTAATGGTATCAGCTAATTAAAGGTACTGTAATTAACTATGTTGAGACAAATAAGTTGTTTTGTGCTTAAAATGAGTAGTACTTTTACATCTGAGCAAGTTTAACAGCAAGCATATTCTGCCCAGGAGTACTTCTGTCCTGCCTGTCTTTCTGCTGGGAGAATCTCCAGAAGGCTTTTGCCATCAGAAAGATAAACCGTGCTCACCTAGTGAGACTCTGAATTTTAACCTTAACCGTTTATGGATGCCCAGTGGAGCCAGTGATTTTGAGACAATGTGTAGGTAACTCCTAGTATTTGAGGCATTTTATTCTTCTGAAAATATGTCAGGCAGCATTAGGAAAGCAGATACATCTAAGTGTGACATCTAAAGAAAATGGCCAAGTTTCCTGTGTGTTTAGTAAACCAATAAATCATGCAAAGCAGTATTTCAGCTATTAGCTTTGAGTTTTTAATGGTTTTTAAATATATTGGATCCATTCATTACAGTCTACTTACTGGAAGTTTTACTTAAAATATTTTGCTCACATAAGCATATTGAGCTGTAAGGGGAGGTATTACTGGCAAGAAGAAAATTCAACATAGCTTAGATGTTTTGCTGGGTTGGAACCTTACTAGGTTTCTAAGCAGGCATCTTTCTACATGCTTTTTCAAGTTATTTTGTACCTTTTGTGGGTATTTGTTGTTGTTGTTCCAAAACAGTTGGAAAAAATATGTCTGATGTCCCTGCTTCCACCTTACTGCCTCATCCCCAAAACTGTTAGGGAAATGGAAATCTGAGATTGTGTTCAGGATCTTCACGTACTAGTGCTGTACTAGTACTAGCACAGTTTGCCAGCAATAGAGTTGGGAAGAGGTACCTTTGGGTCTGCTCCCTTTCTGGCTTCTTGGCGTGACACTCTGGAGGATAGCCCACTTGGTGTTGCTCCAGGGGTGCTCATATTCCCGTTGCCTCTCTCTTGGACCCCTTATGTGCTTTCCTGAACCTCTTCCACTTTGGGTGCTTTACTGGCCTCTTTGTAATCACTTCCTCATCCTAAGGGCTGTTGTGTGGCCCTGGCCTCGTGCCAAGGGCCTGCACGTCACTCTTTCTGTCCTGTAAGTCCAGGCTCACTTGTGAGCTTTCCAGATCTACTCTTCTCTTGGGGGTGATCCTATTCTCTTTTTACTTCCCGTAGACATACTTCACTTTCAGCCCACATGAGCCTCCCCATCCTTCTTCCTTGTCCTCTGTTTTGCTTCTAGTAGAGAATCTGGGAATATTCCTGGTACCTGGGACATGCTGGCCGGGTGCATGGAGCTAAAATGTTACAGTGGAATAATGGTCAGGGATACTGCAGGAAGCAGTGATTTGTGGTGGTTCAAGTGGATGTGCCAGCCCTGTGATGGAAGGCGCGTTGCTTGAGCTGTTGATCACCCACAGTGGTAGAGTTAGTCCTTATGATTACTAATGAGCATTTAGGTCTGTGCACTTACCCATCCTCCTCACCTTCCCTAAGAGACAGACAGTTAGTACAAACCATTTTCTTTGTAAAGACACAGGGCTGTCTTTGCAAAGTGTGATACTACATTCACAAATATATAAAGAAGGAGGATGTTGAAGTGGAGCAATAGAAAGAAGTTATGTTTTAAAATGGTACAGGGCATTGGTGTTAACAGAGGGGAACTAAAGTGTTACACTAAAAACTGCCACGCTTGTCATACGGAATTATCTTGAAGTGCAGACATTGATAGAGTAATAGCTGGTTGTTACCAACTGGGGCTGATAGTGGGGGAGGGAAGGGAAGAACAGAATTTACAAAGAAGGTAGTGTTTTAAGCTGGATTCAGGGAGCATCCTCTGTGAGGTGGGAACAGTTGTACTGGTGCATTTTACATGCTAGAGGAGCAGGATGACCAAAGTGGGAACAACTTTGAACTTCGTGGCTAATTCCTGCCAACTTGACTGGGAGTTCAGCACTAGAGATTAATAGCTCAAGATGGCCTTCTGACACACACACATTTGTCTCGCAGAATGAGGGAGGCAATAGCTTGTGAACAAAAGCAGTTTTTATCAAGAATGCGTCCTTGCTCTTAGCCGTACATTAGGAGTGGGGTTCCTTTGGTCTAATGCACTTCTCTTTTCAGAGGTTCCCTTTTATTTTGTTTTCTCTCGTATCATATCATGTTAGTATATTTCCTGTTACTGAAAATGCAAACAGAAGAAGAGTTAACACTAATCATTCATTTAAACTGGAAACATTAACATTGTTTTTGTAAGCGACTGAATGTAAATGAGGTAGCTTGACTTCCCTGATGGCTTGTAATTAGGCTAGGTTTTGAAAAGGATAATCTTATCTGGTGTTTCTTGGGGCCAGCTGTTCGCATGAGTCAGTAGGAATTCTTTTCTCACCCCAATTCCTGCATACCACATAATTTTGAAGGATTTCACTTTCTTGTGAAGCTTTAAGCAGAAGACACTGCTGATATGAAAAATCCATTACGTAGGATATTAAAAATTCTGTTAATTTTTATAACTTTTCTGCAGAAAGAGGTCAGCAAGTTACTTTTATCTTTCTGCCCAGAAACATTTCATTAATCTTATTTATGAAAGATTGAATGTCTTCTAAAATGATTAGTATGAACAGTTGATAATGAAAGTACTCTTTGCCTAGAAAGCAGCGACTCTGCTATTAATTTCAAAGTGTTGTGGGAAATATTAGTTATCGATATGTTGACATCCTTTAGAAATTAAGCACAACTAATAGTAGTTTCTGGGTATTCTTTTACAGACTTTCAGTTTCAGCAAGCTCGATAATGAAACCCAGCACTTAAAGTGGTTAAGCCAGCTGAGGAGTAAAGATACAAAAGGGAACAGGGTTTGAGTGATGTGAGAACCTCTTAAATTGTGAGAACAGGCCAGACAGAAAGACTAGAGGGAGATGAGTTTTTTACCTGCTGCAGTAATGTTAACTGTACATGCCCTCATTTGATGTACCTTGCAACAGCAATTTGGTAATGTCTTGTTGCAGTTGGTGTGTCTGTTACTGTGTGTCTGTGGAGCCTTCTGACGGAGGTTAGATGTTAGTGTGAAAGCTCTGGTTCCACAGGCTGTCTATCATAGCAATTTGTGCTCTCCTACTGCGGAAGGGAGCCACTTGAAGTTAAGGTATTCTTAGATGGTCTCCTTATTTCCCAAGTGCTTTTTCAACAGCTTCCTCTTAACCTCGCAAGGTCCTTTTTCATGTGACTGGTGTGATAGCACAAGTGCTTTTACCTGGCCATTTTCTGAAAGACTGACATGGAGCTGAACTTGGTGCAGGAGGGATGAATGGGTATTTTTGCATGTCATAAGTGGTGGTTTTTCCCTCTCTCAGGGCACTGTCAAACAGTTCATTTTTGAAGGATTCCTTGAAGTCCTTGGTGATGCCAGTAACCTGGTGGCAAATTATCCTCTTCTTGGATAGGTGCTGGAGGGATGCGTGCAGAAATCTGTCAGGCTTCTCTCATCACCTGGTTCTCAGGCTGTTGGTTTCGCGAGCCGGTGGAATTTGGCAGGACAACATGGAGGAGAGACAACAAGGGGGAGAGAATGAATTTGTGAATGGAAGCGGGTGCTGTGGCCCAGAGGCAGTGTTGTCCACGTGCATTTTCCCTTCCAGTGCTCTTATCTCCATACAGCTGTAGCTAGCCTGTCTGATCTGTGGTGACGGTTTTCATTATGGCTCCTCAGCACAGCTGTGAGGTGGGTCGGCGATTTCCTCCACCACCACTCCTCCAGCCTTTTCCTTCCCCTCTATGGACATGTGGTTTGTCATCTGCTTGCACAGAGTCTCCTTGTACTGGGCTGTGGCTTCCTGTACTAAATCTGATCCAAATTTGTGCTGTGAGGTATTCCCTCCCCCTTGAAGGGTGGCAAGGAGGAAAATAACAGTTGAGAGTGAATAGGTGTTGGCTGTGATCTTTACATGTGCTGGCAGCAGATCCCACGACTTGTATTAGCTGCACAAGTTGAACAGATGGAACAAATTGACAAAATCGTGTTCACTCACGCTGTGCTCAAGGAGCAGCTGAGTTGCTGTTTGAAGTTGAAAGTTTGAGTGTGTTTTTTTTTTCCCCTTGTAGTGGAATTTCTGGTTATATCGTAGAAGCCTCGGCGCTCTGCAGTAGCCCAAAGCAGCTAATGAGAGCGGTGTGTGTCCTTCTCTGTGGCTCAGTGCACTTGGACAGGATTTTGGTGAGATGGAGGGGGAATATGAACAATGTTTCCCTTCTAGATAACGACTAAATGACTTCTGGTTTTAAGTCCACAGTAGACAGTGAAGCTGGGTCATTACTGAACTTAGCCCTTTTCTATTCTGGCACCATCCAGTTCAGGTCAAGACTACACCTTGTTTCAGAAGGGCATGTATGAAAGATGATTAATGCAAATTTGCTTATGGAGTTCTGGGTGTGATGGTTCTGGAATTGTGGTTGATGAGGAAAACCACCTTTTATTCTAGACAAGCTTAAAACACCCATATGCTAGTCCAAGCAGAGCACTAGATTGTTCTCAAAGACTCTGAGCAAAGACATGGGATCAGAGGGTCCTATTCCATCCCAGATCTCTTTGCCTTGAGCAGGGGAAGCTCGTTTGCACCAGCTTACATTGCATCTGCAGCTTACTAGCTTAGCTTTGCTGGTCTGCACAACATGGGAAGACTCTTGAGGTTTCTCCTTGCACTTGTTTGCCTAGCCTTTCTTTCAGCAAAATACTGAACATGCAACTGGTAATTTTATCTTCACACACACTGACAGTAAATGAGGAGCCCCAGGTTTAGGAGGCAGCAGAAGACTAATTTTCTTCTGGACTCAGCTATGAAAAGAAGAGTTCTTTCTTCCTACTGAAATTTGTTCCTAAGAGTGATTGCTTACCTGCTTGTTCTGTCTTCCTTTTACCTCCCTTAACTCTTCAGGACTTCAGGATGCATTTGACAGTGACTGGGAAACTGGGAAGATCACTTACAACAATTACAAAAATGGATCTGATGATGCTGTTTTGGCTTACAAACTCTTGGTACAAACAGGCAACCGAGCAAAGCCCATTGACATCAGCCAGGTACTGTACCAGTGTCCATATTGTCATCAGGATTGGGGAGAGATGCAGAAAGCATGTTACAGTCTGATTTTTCTTTTTGATGACTTGAACGCCCAAGTTAACACCTTACTGCATGGCCTCCCTGATTTTGCTGAAACCATGTGTTAACTGGAGTCTGACGTGTGTTGTGTTCAAAAAATCAAGACTCAGGATGTCTGCCCTTGATTGTTACTGGTTGGCGTGTGTTTGGTGCTGCTCCTATATCAGACACACAGTTCTTACTGAAGTTGTGAAAACTTCTTTGCTGCTTCCAGAGGTAGATGGAGTCTGGTCCTATGCCAGACAGAGCAAACATGAGCCTTGTTGTCCTAAGTGGCATTGTTTCTGATTTGAATCAGATTGGCATATAGGGTTGACCTTTTCCCAGCTTTCTGTTGTGGCTTCGAATCAAGCATTTGTGTTTATTTGTTTAGTTTCTGCCAATTTATGCAAAATGTAACATTTAAGAAAAGATGCTGGTGAATGATAGTGGAAGGGAACTGATATCATTCATATTCTTGTACCGTCATCACTAAATGCAGCTATACTGTTGTAGGACTAAGAATGGCATTATTTTGAGCTCCCTAAATAAAATATGTCTGAGGTTCTTTTGCAAGGTTATTACAGCACCTGACTCCATTTGCTGTAGCCATTGATAGGTGGAAATACACCAGGTTTGACTCCTTACACTAAAATTAGGTTTCAAATGTCTTAAGAAGGAATTCTGCAATAACCCAACTTCTCTCCTGAAGTTGTCATTGACTCGCTGTGCTTTCAGGCAGGAAAAAATAGTCTTTCTAATGAGCTTCTTGGCAGATCTGCTCATTGTCTTTCTTTTTTTTTTTTTCCTGGCGTTAAAGGTGACAGATTTACAGAATACATTGTTGAAACACACTGCTGTATAGCAACATGTAGCATGCTGTCAGGTTTGAATGAAGCTTCAGCTATGAATTAACCAAAGAAAGGGAGTTGAGAAAAACTTCAGTGAGATTTTGTTCAGCAGAATGTACCAGGTACACTGTGGAACAAATGCGATTGGACTGCAGCTGCTGATATAATTTCCTCTGCCTGGGAGGGAGAAAAGTGTGGTGCACCCACAGGGGCTGAGCGCTGCACTGTGCAGTTCCAGAGACAGCTTGAAGACATACAGTTGTTGCATATCCTGTGGACTAATTGAATCCAGATCCTTGGAATCCATTTTTTTTTTTAACTGCTGTCAGTGTTGTTTTTCATTTCATTAAAAAGACCTGAAACTGGATCTGAGCCAAGATTTTAAATAAACAAAACAAAAACCCCCAGTAATACTTTTCACCCACAGAGTCCTCTGTGAGAGCTCTAGCTGTGCAGGATTTGGCTACAGAACCTTAAAAGTGTACCACTGCTGTTTACCCCACAGATGCCTTTGCCCACAGTGACCCAAATAACACAGGGCACTCGTCTGCTTTCTTGATGCTGGGCATTTTCTGAATACGTAGGTCATAGGAGGCAAGTGTTAGCAAAATTTATACAGATGTTGTTTTATTTTTATAGCTCTCCTCCATTTACTGGGTGGCATTTCCTTCAGTGTTAACAACAGAGGTTAACTGCACACAGACATGTATAGGGACTCTTGCCAGATTTTCCTTCCCTGTCTTTAAATATGTTTCTCCGACTTGGTTGTTTTTCACTCTTGGCTGCCGGCTTTCAGAATTTGGATTTAATTGGTTCAGTCAGTTCTGGAACCATCTGCTGATTTAGTGGTTATTGTAAATATTATATGAGTACTAATTTATAAATAACCACTTTCTACTGTGACTGTAGATTTTTAGATTATTCTGATAGTTTACTTCAAGCAAAGAATCATACTTTCTTGCTTTTCTTCTCCCGTATATGTGGCATCTCCAGGCCATTTGTTGAAAGCTTTACAGCAAGACCCCTGAAAGCAAAGCTCATTCTGAAAGGCTTCTGATTTTTTCCCTTCTGCAGTTGACTAAACAGCGTCTGGTGGATGCAGATGGAATCATTAACCCAAATGCTTTCTACATCTACCTGACGGCCTGGGTTAGCAACGACCCTGTGGCCTATGCTGCCTCGCAAGCCAACATCCGGCCTCACCGCCCAGAGTGGGTCCACGACAAAGCAGACTATATGCCAGAAACAAGGCTGAGAAGTAAGGAGCATTTCATCTTAATGTCTTACAGTTTATACAAGTGCCCCCACTCCTTCCCTCAAGAACTGGTAACTCTGTAACTGGCTGATGCTGCACAGGGCTCAGAAGCCTAAACAGGAGAATATATTGTGTTACTTTTTGGTCTTAGGAGACCTGTGCACCCTTGCAAATGTGACACCACAGCAGGGTTTTAATCATATTGAAAAATGCGTTTTGTAACAGTTTGAAGCTCTTAAGAATTTATACTAAGCGTTGCTTTTAAGTGTGACCTGATAGTTCCGTCTGTGAGGGAAGCCTCGAGATTGCTCAAAATTCATGCTTGTGTCATTGTGAAATTTCATCACTGAGATTGTATCATGCTTATCCTCAGTTCTTAATACCTGAAGGATTTTTATCAGGTTAGCTCATATGCTAAGGAACCAACACTGATACGGTACAAAGAGCTACTTAATTAGAGGAGCAGTCCCGTTCTCTGCAATTCACTGTTTTTGTGAGCACCAGTGCCAATTTGGGTTGCTTTGCTTCAGCTTTCCATTTACTGAGAAAGTTACTAGTTGGGACACCAGTGAGGAAGAGGAGAGGGCATGTAGGGGAGGGCTGGTATGCTTGGAAATGTGATTGGGCAATCAGCTGTGCTTCAGTGTATCTGAACCCTAGAGCTTTGTGGCAGTGAGCCAAATCTTGTCTTAATGAAAATTTATAGTTGAGATTATAATAGGGCAAATCATGTTTAGCAAGTCAACTGAATGACCCTACAGGGTCTGGAACACACAACGACAGTAAAAAAAGGCTTGTTGTGGAAGCTTTTTTTTTTCATCTTGTACAGTAGACTGAGTGTTACATTCTAAAAGTAGTGTGGAGAGTGATGGTTTGTCAAATTATTAAAGGATAAAAAGTTATGTATTTCCTTAGTAAACTACTGCTTTTATATTAGATTTTTTCTTCCCAGTCATTTGCATGGATTTTTGCACTGAACATGGATTTCTGAATCTGACTTAAAATATATTCAATGGAAATCTTAAAAACCAACCAGCCTATTGGAGCATAATTTTCCTCTAGTTTTGTGTCAGTGGACCACAAGTAATCTCAGGGAAATGGCATTTGATTTCAGAGGAACTGCACCTGCATAGGAGAAGAGCATTTGGACAACATGCTTAATATGATGTGATCTCCTACTTCATATTGCATTTAGGGATTTTTGGCCAAGTATGCAGAAAGAAATGCTGTACCACTGTTGAGGATTAAATACATTTATTGAAATACGTCTGTTATGTTCTATAGAATTGTTTGGAGCCTTGATGTAGACTTTGTTTATCCCACTGCACTGCATGTTAAAAAGCAGCCATCTCCTGTACTATTTCAGCTTTCAATTTATCGGGGAGTTTTTTGAAATGTCACTTGTTAAAGAGAAGTAAAATTTAAATTCAGCACCTTTAAGCATTTTGCTGTGGTGAACAAAGCATTGCTAATCTTGCTCTCTGTGTATCTTCTTCCTTCCAAACACACGTTTTAACACTGCTATCTTTTTTCCTAGTTCCAGCAGCTGAGCCCATAGAATATGCTCAGTTTCCTTTCTACCTCAATGGATTGCGTGAAACTTCTGACTTTGTGGAGGCTATCGAGAAAGTGAGAGCTATCTGTAGTAACTACACCAGCCTGGGGATCGCCAGCTACCCGAACGGTTACCCGTTTCTGTTTTGGGAGCAGTACATTGGGCTTCGTCACTGGCTCCTCTTATCCATTAGCGTGGTTTTGGCTTGCACGTTTCTTGTGTGTGCCCTCTTCCTCCTAAACCCCTGGACGGCTGGGATCATTGTAAGTTTATTATAAGGGTCTTTGTTGAAGTCAAATTCCTTTCAGCATAGCTCTTGCTGTAGTCGGGAAGGTTTTGTTTATGTCTGGGCCTCTGGTGGAGTATGTATATTGCATCATTCATTATATATTTATTCAACTTGAGGGGGTAGGGTTCATGCTAAAGGTACAAACCTTAATAGCTTTAATCCTTTGGCCACCTTTTTTGCAGCTTTAAAGATTTCTTGGAAAAGTACGTAAACTTTTGCCCCTACTTAGATGCACACTAACATGAGAAATAAAGACAGAGGAAAATTAAGACCTTTATTAAACATTAAAATGATTATTTACTCCTTCTCCCCTTTTGTCAGACAGCTATTTTTCAAGGCAGTTGCTTGTGACTAGCTTGCCCATAAATTTCCCACTGATTTCTGAACTCAGTCTTTCTGGAAAAACTGAAGTGGTTGTTTTACGGTACACACTGTGGAAAGAGTAAAACTGAGCTATAAAATTATAAACTGAAAAGAATACTCCTCCGTGCTTTCTGCAAGGCACCATAAGCTTCTCAGTAAACATTCAAGTTAAATTGAATGATGATGTTCCTGTGTTTAAATTCCATAAACTATCATATAGTTTATAAAATGCCAGAAGTAGAAAAGCGTAAAACAGTTACTACTTTTTGTAATGTACGTTTATACGACAGGTATGTTAAAAGGTAAATGTTTAGTCTAGAATATTTTTTGTAGCACTTAATCAAGCAATTTATGTTATTACTCTTGATTCATTAGCTTATAAAATCATTTATTGTAGTGCATACTTTTTTCCCTAGGAAAAGGCATTTATTTTCAGAGTCCACCATTGCTTTTATAAGTGTGTCTATCTTTTTTTTCTTGCTTGACTTTAGCAACCTCTAAAGTTGATTCTACAGATTCCCTCCACTCCCTTTTCCTCATTTTTTTTACAAGGTAGATGAAAGAAAAATAAAAGCTTTCCCTTAGATTTAACCATTCACTTTGTTTGTGTCAATCCCACTAAGTATCTTAAAAGCTCAGAGCCGCTCTGTAACCTGAGACTCATCAGCTGATTATGGCACTCACTTTCTTCTGGACTTTAAACCTACTCAAAAGTCATCCTCACTTATATTTGCAGTTCCACAAAAAGAGTTCCAGTACAGGTCGTTGAAAGTTGCTTTTTCTGGAAGAGTTGTCTAAGAAACAGGTGAAAAAGAGAAAATGAATGTGATGATCACTGATAAATTGTACCCAATGTTAAATTGATGCTTGGTCTCTTAACTGCTTCTTGGAAGTTATAATTTAAACTGGCTCATTAACAAGCATTGCCATTGAGCACAATGAAACGGGAAACGCGTCTTGTCTTTGGGAATATAGGATGGCTTTGAGGAGTATGTCACATGTTGTTTTGAAATACTTTTCTCTTAATTTTTCTGGAGTATAAGAATTTACTAACAGCTGTTTGAAATCATCTAGGTGGTGGTGCTGGCTCTGATGACCGTGGAGCTGTTTGGCATGATGGGTCTAATTGGAATAAAGCTGAGCGCAGTGCCTGTGGTTATCCTGATTGCTTCTGTTGGCATTGGCGTGGAATTCACTGTTCATGTTGCTTTGGTACGTAAAATCAGGAGGCATTTTTAAAATGTTTTAAAATAAAATGGTGGCAATCGTAGGATCACAAATCCTTGCTTAATCTCCTGAGTCAGTGACGTGATCCCCACAAGGAGGTTGGTCACAATTTCGTGTGCCATTCGGTTCGTCTTGATAGAGTGGAGTTGATCTTGATGATTTAGTTCCCTCTTATTGAGTCTCCCAAGAGTTAAGAGGGGATACATTAACTGTAATGTCTACTCATCTGAGTGACGCAAATATATAGACAAAGCAGACCTCTTAATGCACCGTACTTCAGTCCAGACTCTCCTGGTCCTTGTCTGCAGGCACACTATGGTTACCTTAATGCTGTGCAGCATGTAGATTCTGTATCTTGAGGAAGAGAAGACTTTGAAGGAGATTTTCAAAATTACGTGTAGTGTTGTTTGATCTCTCTGGACCACTACAACTTGAATGTATTTGGATTCACTTTCCACTTGAAAAATCTGCATCTCCTTTTCAGCTGTTAGTAGTGGGCACAGACATGCAGTCTATAGCAAAAGAGTTGTCCTGTGTGGCAAGGAGGAGCGGAGAAGGGGCGAAAAGGTGTGTTTTACAGAAAGATTTTGAACATTTTCATGGTCAAGTGTCCAAATCTCAAGTGTGCTTACTCACGCAGCTTAGTCAGCCTGATGTGCAAAAGTACGTAGAAGTGACAGTGCGCTTGCAAGGGAGCGGTTCTGAGAACTCTGTTTGACAACAGAATATTTGTATCATTTGGCATAGAAAGTTTTTCCGTGTTCATATTTGACAATGTCATTGCTGATCTCACCAACATTCTGCACACTCAACATAAGTAATTTTCCTATAAGGCTATTCTAATGGGTATTTCAGAATAGTTTAAGAATGCCCAGTATAATGTAATTGCAGGGAGAAGGTGCTTGTAGTCTTCTATAATCATTAGTATATTAGTGCTGTAACAATCTGAAAAGAAGTGAAGGAAGAGGGCTGAAAAGTGGTGGTGACATTGTATGGGAATGCGGTGGGCATTTCAGACTCAAAGGGAGGACTCATAGACTGCTAAGAGGATCTGGTCTCAGTGTGAAAGCGAGGAGAACTAACGGGAATCGTAGCACATTGGAGATGGCCAAATATCAGGAATATGTTGTAGATGATGTATAGAGTTTTGGCACATAAAATAGCAGGGTGCAAAGAACAATTTTAAGAAAAGTTGTAGGGGAAGTCGGGTAGGTTTAAAGAGCAACTGAAGTGGTAATATCTTTTTTTCACCTACTGCTGTGGATAGTTAGGCTTTTGGAGGTAAGCCTATTTGCTAGGACTTGTAATAGTTTGAGAACTGTTGGAAATTAATGGTGTACAAGAGGAAGAAAGAAATGACAGTTTCTTAGAGTTGAAGAATTTAATCCAGGAAAACTTGAATAAAAAGGTAACAAAACAGTTGTTTCTAAATTGGAAGAAATTAAAAAAACATATATAAGTAACCTGTGGCTGAAAGAAATGGCAAGCAAACTGAAAATTGTGGTTTTTTTCACATTGACTCTGGAGTCAAAAACTTTCAAACATAAGCTTTAAATAAAGAATGCCTAGGAGACCTCAGATGATAGCAGCAGTACTGGCCTTTACAGAACTTCCTGCACATAAACAGTCAAACCAGCATTGCATAAACACAAAAGTCAGGGCTGGAACTGTTGGTACAGTTCCATGATACAGTTAATTGAACTTGTTTAAAACGAGTGATTCACAGTCCACTTGTGGCTCAGTTCTCAGCTGTCACTTGTGAATTGTGACCTCATTTTTTTAATTCTGCAAATAAATTCCGATTTGATAGCAAGTTTTGTGCTACACATCGTTTAATTACAGACATACACTTATGTTTTTAGAACTTGTTAGTATGTTTGTGGATCAGATCCCATAGTTCCCATTTGTGTAAGTTGTCTCATTGACAGCTGCCTTTACCCTGAGGGGGACTGTTTATTCATTTATGTATATAGGAATGTAAAATGTCCTGGATCCATTAATTTTCCATGGATCACTTTTAATCCAATACTAAAGATTAATGATACATGGTTTGGCTAACTATGGAAGTGAGGGTTGGGAATCTCACTCCACAGTGTACCCATTTTCGGTCTGCATGTCCCACCAAGTAACTTTTTAATGCGTTGACTGATTTCACCCCACATTTGTCAGGTAAGTGAAAATAAGCTGCTAGAAAAGAGAGACTTATTTCCAGGACCAAGAGGAAGACAGCTGCCTGAGCCTACATCTTAGCAGGCAGTAGAGAATTCACTGAAGAAAAAGCCCTTATAAATCACAGGAAGAAGACCAACCAGATACTTGTGTTCTTAAACCATTAAGTCACGCACAAAGAAGACAAATTCATACGAAACAACATTTGAGTGTTCTTGACTCAGCTTGTTCACTCAGGAGTTGGAAGGAGAAAGACGTTTCAGTAGTCAAAAGTGTTGCTCAGGCACCACTGTGTTCAGCACCGTTCCTAAGGCAATTTTTTTACCTATAGGCCCACTAGCTTTGAAGTAGCAGAAGCCGCAAAAACACTTACTTTGCGTGAAATGGAAGTGTTAACAAAAGTCTTGGAAGCCATGGCCCCACCAGAGTGAGAGGTGTAGCCCTGTGATTTCAACACCTGAAGTGCTTTCGCCATAGAGTGGATTCTTTGCAGGTGGAAATAAGCAGAGCTGGAGACAAAAGCCTACGGATGTAATCAGGCATCATTTCCAAAGTTAATACCACAGTCTAGGTCTGTAATCAGTGCTTACTCTGGTTGTGAGACTTCAGCAGCAGCTGTGTGGTATGACTGACACAATCAGACCTTCTCTTGAAGGTTAGCCAGCAACAGAGATGCTTTATAATAAACTATGGCTTGGAGTAATTAACCGGTGGAAAAAAAAAAGTGTGTTTTATGTGAGAGGCTGTTTGGAAGGTTGCGTGCATCTGTGTAATGAAATGAATTTCATTGTTTTGCAGGCATTTTTAACTGCCATAGGAGACAGGAACCACAGGGCTGTCCTTGCATTGGAACACATGTTTGCGCCAGTGCTGGATGGGGCCGTGTCCACTCTGCTTGGAGTGTTAATGCTCGCAGGATCAGAGTTTGATTTTATTGTCAGGTAAAGCATAGCTTAATTTTTAAAATTAAATCAGGCATGCTTTTAATTTTTAGTCACTTTGGCGTATCTGTCATTTTATTACTATGCATGGTGTGTCAAGCATGCTTACATCATGGTCCTGCTTTTCCTCTGTTTTATTAACTCCTTGTTACATGCTAGACGTGGTAGTGTTTCCATTGCTGGTGTTAAAATCTGTTCCAGGAAAATCTTACACCCAGCATGAAAGAACACAGAAATGTCCCTCTTTAGCAAAGTTTGCTAATTCTGGGTTTGAGTCAATTGAAAGCATCTAGTATTGTCCAGTAGTAGCTGGGTTTGACCTTTAACCTTTAGGTCCTCTGGACTTCCCAAGCACACAACATTTGGACTGCGAAGGACACGTGAACCTACAAACATGCTGCAACTGTGCTGCGAGTGACTCTCTCCACATCTTATCCTTCTGTCATTATGTGAGGTTTACAGCAGTGTGTAACAGGGAGAGGAAAAATATCCCTGCTTGGGAGCTAGGGAGCCATAATTATGAACCCAGAACTTCGTATTAAAATTTTGTAAAGCAAAGCCTGAAGGCCCTTCTGTTTAGAACTACAAGCAGACTGTTTCTTGTGAATTTAATTAAGAAGGTGAATTCATCAAGTATGAGAGGAAAGCAAGTTTTCTGTAGAGGGGAATTTGAGAAGTGCAGTGAAACAGATCCTATTCTATTCCAGACAACCTGTGGAGCTCTGCAAAATGGCTAATCTTAGGTTCTTTGTCACAAACTACAGCACCACAAAAAAAAAAAATCCAAGCCCTAAAATGGAACTGAGGTAGAGCTGGGCTAAATAAAAATTCTCTGAAAGATGACTTAACTGCTTAGGTAGACATAAGCTGGATAGATGACTAGACTTAGCTGACATCCATTTGACAACAAGAACAACAAAATGTCACAGGCAGGAACTGAGAGAATGGCTGCTAAATATCAAGATTTTTTGTTTATATATGTAAGATATTTGAAGCAAGCAGGGAGTTTGCAGTTAGACCTCATGAAACCCACATGAGGATTATTACTATAACAGATACTGTGTGTCCTGAAATAAAATCTCTATTTTTTCCCAAGTCAGTATATTTTAATATATTTTTTTGGTATTGAAGAAATAAGGTAGAATTATTCTTTTAGGGCCTGATCTCATAAGGATTGGAACACTTTGACATATAGGTTACTTATAGATTTAACCTAAATTTACAGGGGTATATTTGGTGTGCTACTTGCCTACTTAACAGCTGAGATTTTGGCAAGCGTATTTTCGTGTCATAGCAAATGGAAGATTGTAGCAGCCCCTCACACCAAATTTGGATTGAATGTTCTCTCAGTTTATAAAATGAGCCATTCAACTTTTCAACTTACGTTATTTTACTTTTTTTGGCCGTCAGTTTCTCATTTTCTAGCACAATCTGACTTTAGTTTGCCATGTTTAAAAAATAAAATAAAATAAACTGTGGGAGCCTGAGCATTGTTATAGTGGGCGAACGAAGATCCCAAACTTCCGGAAAGCATTAGATTAGTCCGACAATATGGAAGATTAAGTAAATTAACAGACATTGTATACACCAAGTGGTCAGAGCTGTAATCCTCCTGTTTATCCTAGCGCTAGATGGATGAGATGCAAATGTTTTTAATGCCTGTTGTTGATCTCTGTCCGAGTATAAAGTTCTGGTGGTTTATGTTAATGGAGCAGATTGACTTGCTGATTTTTGCTAATGCAGATCAGAAATTCCCAAATGTTTACAATAGCAGGATATTTGTAGTTTTACAGGAGTCTGATATATTTGATCAGATGTGGAAACAGGGAGGCAGTAAAGTTTGTTGCCAGCTTGACAATGTAATCAGCAGACCCATTAGCAGCAAACTTGCCCTCCACTCTTTTCCTTTGCCTTCTCCTCCAGGAATTTACCAAGACCGAGTCCTTGAAATCATTAGTTGCAACGCAGCCTTAAGTTTAGTCTGAGCCCCAGCTGTGCCGAATACCAACTAGCAAGGCTTTCCTTTTACTGACAGGTTTACCTTGGTATTCATGAAGGATCCCAGACCTTAGCCCTCAGTGGTGGGAAAGGACAACCACTTGTGCACTTTCCTCTTCTTCCATAGTGCTTCAGCCTTTATGTTTGAATTGGCTGACGCAAAACAAGAGTATTCAGAGATGCTAAATTGTTCAACAAAAGATTAGCCTGCAATGCAGCTCTGCCATTGTGGAGTGCTCTTACTCAGTACAATGCTGAAGCTTGCTATAGAATGGGCAGCATTTTCTTTGCAGAAAGCGGGTTCCTGTGTTATAAAAAGGTTGCAGTTCAAGCTATTTGGTAAAACTGGAACTCACAGAATTCTAGGCGGAAAGTTGTGATTAATGAACAGCAAGGGAAACCCTTACCTGATACACTGGAGATTTAATTAGAGATTCTGCTGTAAGATGCAGAAGCATTTCACAGTGGATTAGCCGCTGGGAGAAGAGGGCTTCTTTTCCTTCTAGGCTAAATTGTTTAAATTCTACACCCTTCACTTCATTTGTTTGCTTCTGCTGGGTTTTCACTAATGGGGGCCCCTTTTCATTGTATTTGTGCTTTCAATCCATTCAGCTATTCAGTGCACATTCCATATTTTTGTGTTTGTGTAACACATTCATAAATAACATTACATGCTTCCAGATTTGGGGAAATTAACAAAAGTAATTTTTTTCTTTCCTTTATCAACTAACACTTTGGGTTGTGGAATGTAGCTTCTCTAACTCGAAAGGTAAAAAAAAAAATCTTATCTCTATGTATGTAAAGTGATACAATTATTTTGTAGAGCATTAGTAGGGTTTTAGATTTAGTTTAGCATATATATTATTTTAGCCTATGGAGGAGTAATTTGTAATCCCTTATTTCTAACAATGTTTGTGGCTCTTCTCTCCACCAAACCCCTTAACCCTACTTAAGGTATTTCTTTGCTGTTTTGGCAATCTTAACCATTCTGGGAGTTCTCAATGGATTGGTGCTGCTTCCTGTTCTTCTTTCATTCTTTGGACCATACCCTGAGGTCAGTAAAACTAATGGTCAATAGAAGGAATAATCCTGTGTCTATGCCCCTGCTCCCCTAGATCATCTCCCTTTTTTAGAAACTGTTTATTTCTTCAAATTCTCTTGGATTTTTCACTTTTTAAATTTCTTGCTCTTTTTTAAAATTTGTATTAAAGTCCTGTTTGTAATTTAGATAATATTCTTCTACTTAACATTTTTAAAGGTGTTTTAGTAGTACTCTTTTAGAGGCTGCAATCAGCAAACTCAATACAAGTATAGGATCATTTATGCTTTTAAAGGCATAATGTGATACGCAAACTAGTTTGTAAAGTACCTATTATCCCCAGTATTTTGCAAAAGGCAGTTCATTTTGTCCACATACCTTCTTCTTTCCTACCTTATTGCCTCTGTTGCTTTCCTCAAAATATTTAACTGAGCAGACCACCAAGAAGGCCTGTGCAGACCAACACACACCAGTGGTGGTCCACAGACCACACCTTGATAACTATGACTGGTCTGCCAGCAAGTCACCCCTGTCCAGTCACCCCTCCCTGCTTGTCTCAAGCAACGTTTTTGATGGGTAGAAGGCATTGCTTAGATGTCGACGACTGTACAGTATAAAGTGTAAGGCCAGCAAAAGAGAATTCATAGTTACCAAATTTGTATTTGATTGCTGATTTTTCATTACCTGCTCTGTAGTTAACACAATTACTGTTGCGCAGGGTTGTCTTCATCACATTATTAGTGGAATCAGTGTGCTGTGCCTCATGTCTATATGTACGAGAGTAAAACACTATGCAGCACTAGTAATACTTCAAAAGTATTTATTTTTTTAGTATTAGTAAACCAGTTTTGACACCACTGTGTCATCTCTTATATTCCTATATTCATGACCTGTCACTTACTGAAGCAGTGTAAATGTGCATAGTTCATTACAATGTATGCTGCTGTTATGTGTGTGTCCACCTCTCTTTGCAAGTAAACACTGAACCATACTGTGCATACACATTTGAGGCGATTTTGTGAAATCACTGTTAATGTATGGTGAAGGAGGAGGGAAGTCCACATACTGTGTTTTTAAGAGCAAGTGCATGCACACACATGTGTTCATACACTTCCTGAAGTTATGATATCCGAGAGAATCTGCGTAATCCTGATTACATACATATCTACAAATGGAGATTGTTGTCTCTTTTTCTTTGATGAATTTTTTTAGTTCAGTCTAAGTGTTCATCAGGAAACTGGTGCTGAGGTTCTCGTGGTGTGGGAGGGTGTATTTGGCAGAAGAACAATTGTGTCCATCACTAGTGATTAAAAGGGTAACGCCAACTTGATGTTAATGAATGCATTGTCATTACCAGATTTCTCCAGCCAATGGACGAAATAGATTGCCCACGCCATCTCCCGAGCCACCCCCAAGCATCGTGAGGTTTGCACTGCCACCCGGGCACACGAATAATGGCTCAGATTCCTCTGATTCAGAGTACAGTTCTCAAACCACAGTGTCCGGCATCAGTGAAGAGCTTCATCAGTATGAGGCCACCCAAGGCCCTGGGGCACCGGTTCATCAAGTGATAGTGGAAGCCACTGAGAATCCTGTCTTTGCGAGATCCACTGTAAGTAGCTCATGTACTGACTGGCAAGAGGGCAAGAAGAGTGCTCGGAGTTCTTCTAATTTAAATCCATTTATTTTTGTGGAAAGCTTTCGTATTTCTGGATGATTATGCTTTGTGACTTTGTGCCAGAACTTGTAAGCAGGGAGTGAAGGTCTTTGTCCTCTCGTTAAGAATCAAGCTGGGGGTAAAAATGATGGTATGAAAGCAGCGGTCTTTGGTGTGTGTAATTGCTGTTACATGATATTGGCACCAGCCACAAGAGAGAGCTCTCAGTCTGTTTGATGACTGTTTTCAGAGAGAGAACGGGAGAGATAAAAAGATCCAGGCCTCTTCGACACACCTCCTTGTGAATCACCATCTTATATACCTCTCTCTGACAGTACAATTTAGGGAGAAATTGATAGAGCCAGAAAACAGTTACAGGGTTCTACCAAGTCTTGGGCCTGTTGCGTCTTGCTACTGGGTTGACATAACTGCGATTTCAAAGGACAGTGAAAAACCTCTGTCTCCTACCCCTGCTGATGCTGCATGCTGAGCTGCAATGCGGATCTGGTTTTGTTCAGCAGAGGCCTAGAAGTAGGTACAAGCACAGCCACATTTGAAGTTGGTCACGGTTTATTGACTGATGTGGCCGCTGCGCTTCACGCTTTTTACGGAAATCAGAAAACAGATTCCTGCAGTCTATACAAACTGCCCTACTAACATCCTGTGTATGTACCCTGTGTGGAATAGAGCCTTTTCCAAATGCCTGCAATTCTACTTGTCGAATGAGTTAAAATCAAGCTCTTGTCACCCATCCTTTTCAAAAGATGGGCTGGTACTTAGGAAGCTTACAATAGTGTTTTTAGCTGTCACCCTGTGTTTTTCTGAAGGTGTGCTTTCCAGGCTTTAGTAACTTCAGACAACAACTATCTGGAAAAATCGTTACCTTTGTAAAGTTTGAACCAAGACAGCATTATTGTAATTGTTCTCAGTGCAGAATACAAGCAAGCATAGTACTTGTTTGCCTCACTTTGCCAGAGGCATAACCATGCATCTCTTCTCCAGGTGATTCAGCCAGAGACAAGGCATCAGTCGAGTCCCGGATTGCAATCAAACCCGGAGTCCAGCACGCAGCAGCAGGCCTGGCGTCAGGGCAGACAACCCAAACGGGAAGCAAGGGAAGGGTTGCGACCACCTCCTTACCGCCCTCGCAGGGACGCTTTCGAAATTTCTACTGAGGGGCATTCTGGACCCAGCAACAGGGATCGCTTGGGCCACAGGGCTCGTTCTCACAGCGTGAGGAGCCCGGCGTTTGGGGCGGTGGGTGCCGCAGGACCATCATACTGCCAGCCAATCACTACTGTGACTGCCTCGGCTTCAGTGACTGTTGCTGTCCACCCTGCGGTGCATGGCCACAGCTCTCGGGGAGGGAGCTTTCCCTCCTACGAGGGATACCGTGAGGCTGACCATGGGCCATTTGAGGACCCCCACGTGCCTTTTAATGTGCGGTGTGAACGAAGAAATTCTAAAGTAGAGGTTATAGAACTGCAAGATGTTGAATGTGAGGAAAGGATAACTGGCAACAGCTCACAATAAGGTAGGTCCATCTCCCGTAGCTGCAGGCTTTGCCCATGTCTGGCAACAGTGTGATCGAAAGAAAGGGGAAAGACAAAATTTTTCTGAGGTACCTTTCCTTCAGGTGAGCTTAATTAATGGTCCTTGATCATCATAAATTTGCTGGCTGTGAATATAGTACATTTTGAACTATAAGTCAGGTTGGACAGAATAGTACTTTCCAACACTGGGAAGTTTCAGTGGAGTCAGACATGAACTACTTCCAAGAGCCTTGCAAAGTGGGCAAGTACATAGTACAGATGAGGAACATGAAGCAGACATGTAACGTCTTCAATGCTGTGTAACTGCATTTACCATCAATTGGTTCTGTCTCCTGATCCCTGTACCTGCCACGTTCTGGGACATCATAGAGAATGCCATTGCCTGGGAGAGTGTAGAACTGCCAGCTACTGTGAAAGTTGCCGGAATCCCTCCAGAATATGTGCCGAGTGGGAGGTGGGAGGAGCACCAAGGGCACCGCTGCGCAGGGAGGGATCTCCCCTGTGCTCTGGGGGAGGTTCAGAGACCCACCCAGTGAACTTGCACTCCGGAAGAGTCCTTGGGCCAGTCTCTCCCTGGCTGCAGCAGCTACTGCAGATTTGCATAGGGTAGGGCTGACCTGGCAGGGCCTTTTGCGTGTTCCTGTGACACAACAGATACACGCAACAGCTATAAGACTTTGATACCTCAGTCATTATCCATCTCTTGGCTGACAGAACAAGTTTACAGGGAACACTGCTGTTTAGAACAGACAGAGTATTTTAGCAGATGTTTAGGGAAGAGTAAAGCTGTTAACTTTCTTCAAAATTTTCCATTCATGTTGCAAGGGATACTTTTAAATGGGAGAAGCCAATTGAGTTTTTACCCTGAAAGCTTTTTGGGGCTTACAGCTGAAGAACACCTCTTGCTATTTTAAGTCTATTTTTCTCTTTTAGGGGAAGGTTTAAAAATAGTTACTTAGCCATGGATCCCTGTTTTATCTCTTTTGAATTTGTTTCAGTGACAGATGCTGGTTTGACCGGAGCAAACCATTTTATTTTAGTTGTAGAACTGCTCTACGTGTGTGCACGCATGCACACATGCACACAGAGAGTTTTGATGGAAATTTTTCGATTACTTGTAGTAATTGCATTGTGATTTAGAAAATATCTCTCTGAATGTCTCGAAGTGCAAGTAGGCACGAATGCCTTTAGCCTTGCAGTCTAGAAATATGGCAAGTCATAGTATCCTCAGAATAAGGAAATACTTGGGCTCAGCTTTTTCAAGCTTAACTTCATGATAATATGAGATTCTTCACTACACACAGTATTCAATGTAGCCTGTTTCTCCCTGAAGTGCTCATTGGTTTTGACTGAGTTGGTTGCAGTTATCTAAAGCTGGGAACTCAGAAATTAAAGCATCTGCGTTTTTTGTAGTTGGCGTCAGCATTGCTTACCAAGATGAAAGTGGAGCCCATGTTTCCTGACTGCTAAACGTAACCACAGGAATCATGAAATGAGTTTTAGATTAGCTTGATTTGTTCGTTTTCCTTGAACTTTAATGAATGTTTGTTTTTTCTTCTCTCTTTATTTGTAAAGGGTAATAACTGAAGCAAAGAGAGGCCAAAGATGGAAAACTGTATTTCCAGAACTGCTTGAAGAGAAGAACTGCTTGAAGTTGTAGAAAAGGACATGCTGCATCAGGAAAACAGTTCACTGTTACTGTAACCTATTGTATTATTTTGTTAAATATTTCTTTAAGTATTTAAAAGATGTACACATATGTAATATACAAAAGAACAATGTAAAGTAGTATAATCTGGAGTCATTTGCCTCTGGGCAATAGAATGGGGACAATATTGTGTGCTCTTTGTACTTCTTGTACATTGATCTCTGTGCCACAACTAAGCTTAATCTAGTTCTAAATTTCAGCATAAGTTGCTGCTGCTTAAATATTGTATAATTTACTTGTATAATTCTATGCAAATATTGCTTATGTAATAGGATTTTTTTTTAAGGTACATGTCTGTTTAAGATATTTTAAATTTGCGTATCACAACCCTGTGGTAGTATGAAATGTTACTGTTAACTTTCAAACACGCTATGCGTGGTAAGTTTTAAAATAAGCAGATATGAAGAAACAAGCAAGTTAATCTGGGAGGCTTTAATAGATTTAGCTATGTGCAGGTTTTGTTTTGCCGTGTGTATCCATGTGTGCATCTGGAAGTATGCATGTCTTTGTGTGTATGTTCCTGATGTGCTGTAGTTTCTCTTTTACTGTATGGTAACACTTAGTGGGCTTATAAACCCACTGTGCTGATGTGAGTCTGGCTTTTCCTGTTAGTAGGTGCTAGTGAAAACTGTTGGTGTCTGCCAACACATACCATAGACTGCCACCATCAAAGGCCCAACTAAAACAGAAGACAAGGAGTCAAAGTTTGGGGTCGTGGTTCAGTTTCCCACACTCTGAATGACTTGGTTCACGTGGCTTTGGTCAAGTCGCTTCACTGCCCCATGCCTCAGTTTCTCATTCTGTATAATGGGTATAACTACACTTACCTACCTCCCAGGAATGTTGTGAGGCTTAATTACTGTTGGTGTAGTGCTTTGAATTTTATTTTCTTTTGCAAAAGGTGCCAGGTAAGTGCAAACACTATAACCATTGGTTTTTTCACGTCCACAGGTGCTGGATATTGAGAGGTGCTGGTGGTTATAGAAATTCAATGAGCATATGCCTTGTTTTGGTATTGATACTGTTAGCTGTGTGTGGCATTACAAGTTGAATAATCAAGTTGTTTGGTGGTGAGCCACAGCTCAGCTCTGTCCTTAACGTGTTGAAAGCAGTATCTTTGGTCACCTTATTTTCATGGCAGGAAGGAAGTTAATAGTAAGTGATAAAAATCAAATGGAAGGATGAAATAAGTCTGTCTTCACTTTTTAAATATAAATGCCTTTCTGATGGGTCCAGGACTGTAGTAACACGTAAGGCCTGGGTTGTTCTTTTCTCTATTGTTCGTGTTTTCCCATGCTGCATTGGCACTTTTGATTAAAACAGCTAAACGGGGATCTCTTTGCAAAACTAATTTAGCTTTTTGTATTATTATTTTTAAACTAAACGGGGATTGCTGCAGGTGAAGGGTCTGAAAAAAACGCTACAATCTGTGTTCCCATTGGAAACAAATCCTAAGAATGGAGAATCTTAATGTAGAATAACAGAGCAAAAGTTTTCACTCTCTCTGTCTTCCTCTTCATGTTTTTTCCTGCCCTTCTCCAAGCTGTTTTTTAGAGCAGGTAGATGTTTGATTGTGTATTCAGAGCCACACACAACCAATATTTTCTAAACACAGCAGCAGTAGGGCTTTTCTCTACGTACAATGCCTGAACAGCAGTGGCCAATTCTTTGATGGGAAAGTCGTCTTCTCCAGTGGCTTCAGGGAGTCTATCTTTGTCTGCAGACCTTGCCAGCATAACAAATGGGGATAACTAGAATGCACAAATTTCCATGCCTTTTTTTTTTATGCTCACTTGAAAACACTTTGATTTGAGGCACTTGTTTACAGATCTCCAATGTGAATGCTCGAAGAGCAGGTGGCGAGAGCCTGGTGCCGGTGCTGACACATAAGCTGATTTTGGTGCACACGAGGGGTTAATGTCGCCACTGCCCACGGAGCCCAGTTTCGAAAACTCTTAATGACAAAAAGACAAGGGGCCCCAGCTCAGCACTGGTGGAGCAGTGACCTCGGATCATACAAGCTCCCCCTGACCAAACTGTATGATACTAATTGGAAGCTGCCTTCGAACGCCAGGCGTGTGTGCTCCTGTGTCAGAGGTCGGCAGGCCTCCCACTGACACCGCCACCAGCTGCCTCCACTCCCTCTTCTTCCTCGGGAGGGCAAGGGGCCGAGGCGAGCCTCGGTGTCTCCCACCTGCCCCTGCCTGAGCCCTCCTGCGTGCTCGTGTGCAGGTGAGCTGTCTGCTGCTTCGTGCACAATGTAGACCTTCTTCGATAGTCACATTGGCAAGGGGAGAACTCAGTGGCTGGCAACGTTTTGGTTTGGTTTGGTTTTGTTTTTTAACTTTTTTAATCATGGGTGATATTTATATTTTTGTATCATAAGAATGTTTTCTTACAGTATTTGTCATGCCAGTTTATAACAAACAAGATGCAGGGATTTTATTTCTATTGGAAACACTATTACAGCTATGTTTTTACTTTTTAATTGATTTTTATTTGTATAGAGTGCTTACTAATGTTAAATAGGAAAGAGTATATAACATTTACATTAAGGACTCGTCATAGCTTTTAGCGTAAGGAGTTAAAAGGAAAAAAAAATATTCAAACTGGGTCTCATTGCCTGCCTGTTTTGGTAGGAATGGGTTTGTGTCATTTCAGTTACAAAGATAAAATTATGCCATATAATTTATTTATATGAAAATTTATTTTTGTAGTGTACATAGTAGTCATCAAGTCTTTTGACAGAAGTATATTTTTAAAGAGTTTATATGTAATGATGATACCATTATGTTTTGGAACACTGCTGAGATACGATTACAGTGCACACTTTTCCTTGTAAACCCCCTGGCAGAAAAGAAAGTGTTTAACAGTGTTAAGAGAGAAAGAGAGTGTGAATATTCATACGATTCTGAACTGTGTTTTAGTTACCATTTGTGATCTAGTGTGGTTCTCATTTTAAACTTTGGACGGAAATTGTACAAACTCTCTAAATATTAATGTTCAAACACTGATAGAAATTCTAACATGAATAAAAAAATATTATAACTTACTAGTCATGGATTTGGTTGTTTATAGAATACGTCTTTATGTACTACTACTAGTTGTTGACACCTGAGCAGGCACAACCCTGCAGCATTCTGGTATGGACAACAAACTTGGGATGTTTCAGGATGTTTGGGAGATCCAGTTTTGCCTGTTTTGGAGCAGGAGCCAATTCTAAAATCCTGTCGAGATTCTGTTACCTCTGTTATGTCTGAGGGAGTTTAGGA